AGGGTTCAATCTGTGAGTTAGCCTTGCCCTCACTTGCCTTACCCTTGATTCCTCACAAGCGACTCGACATTTCAAATCTCCATAAACGTCTCTATCCGTAAAGCTCAGTAGAACCTAAGAACTCATTTCATTGGTCTCAGGGAGCTGGCATTACAAATAGCAGATCAATTCAAAGTTCTTGGGCAGCCCATTGGATTAAAATCATGTGTGATCATAGGGGGTTTGGACATGATGAAACAAGCCATCAACTTGGCACAAAAACCCCATGTTGTCATAGCAACCCCAGGAAGATTAGCGGACCACCTCAAGAGCACAGACACTTTAAATATTGGCAAAATACAATTTTTAGTGCTGGATGAAGCAGACAGATTACTTGATCCTTCATTCGGAGATGATCTGGCTGTCATATTTGACAAAGTGCCGAAAAAGAGACAGACACTTTTGTTCAGTGCCACCTTAACAGACACCATAGAAGAACTGAAGAAAGTATCAACAGCAGAACCTTTCTGTTATGAAGTGAAGTCAGAGTAAGTAATATGTTGATCCTCTTGTGATGTTACAGATAGCTGTGCAACATCTTTCGTATGGACTCTTCATAATTTTGGAGCTGGGGGCTTATGTGGATGGGGGAAGGAGGGGGCAACTTTTTTAGTTAAAATTTATATTTATTCTAATATAATCTGACATGTCATTGTAAATCATTTATTTATCAATTCATTTGTTAATTTTTTTTTCCAACWAGTGTTGCTACTGTAGCAGAACTGGATCAAAGATACCTTCTTGTTCCTGCCAACGTACGAGACTGTTACTTAGTACACTTATTACGAGAACAAGACCAGCAGAAATCTATCATTGTCTTCACCCACACATGTAAAAACTGCCAAGTCTTGGCTTCTATGTTCCATAAGGTAAAACTCCCATGCGTAACTCTTCACTCCCTGATGTCACAAGCACAGAGACTTTCAGCTCTATCCAAATTCAAATCAGGACATGTAAAAATTCTCATTGCAACAGATAATGCTAGTCGTGGTCTAGACATACCCACTGTTGAACTGGTTGTCAATAGCAATGTGCCGGCATCACCCAAAGATTATATTCACAGAGTTGGACGAACAGCCAGGGCTGGAAAAGGTGGCATGTCTGTCACCTTGGTAACACAATATGATGTCGAAAGGGTTAAAGCAATTGAAGCTGTCATTAAAACAAAGTTGACAGAGCTCAAAACCTCTGAGAAGGAAGTACTTTCTCTTCTGAAGGGTGTGTTAGTTGCTAGACGGGAAGCTGAACTCAGAGTTAGGGACAGTGCCATTCTTGAGAAACGAAAAGTTAACAAGCGAAAGAAAGACTTGTTGGATTTAAAGGAACCTGTTGCTAAACACAAGAAAAAGAAACAAAAGCATTCCACATAATATTTATTAAGATAGTCAACATTAATTTTGTTAGTTTACAGGTACATCATATTTGTCCAAGAAATCAAAATATTTAATGAAAATATCAACCCTGAATCTTAATTATAAAGACTTACAGTTATTGTCCTATGAAAAAAGACCAAAACAAGTATCACATCATGCTTTTTTTATTCATTATAAAAGATACAAATTCTGKTGTTAAACTTTATATTGAGAAAAAATGAACAAAGAGTAATAATGATGAATCTATGTACATGTATACAATGATTGTAGGTATCAAGTATATGGAGCTAGTATATAAGTTATAGTGTGACAACCTTATAGGCAATGTGCATCAACGCTCACAAAGCACTCTGGGAAACCGAGTCCTGCTAAAATGGAACAGGGAAGTCCAAGGAAATATCAGGAAAAATTTCCTTTTTTATTTTCGTCTGTTGAAGTGCTTACATCAATAGAAAATGTCAGAGAAAACATTGTCAGATGAATTTTTAGAAGAGCTAAAAAAAAGTAAGAACTCAGTGTCCCATCATGCTTTGTGCTAGAAATTCAAGCTCATGAACATTGCCTATTGACAATGGCTGTATAAACCAGACAGATATACTGTACCTGGATAAACCTTTACTAAAAATATTTTAAAATCTTATAATTATTATAAGATGAAGAATAGTTTTTTTTTAACTAAGACCATTTTCGTTTTACATATCCAGAATTAGGGAGCTCTTTCGTTTTGAGTTATTAGGCAAGTGCTGACATAATATAGAATTSAAGTATTGCCTCGCGTTACGTGAGCCTCACGCAATCCTGTGATGAGATGTGAAAAGTTCCTAGTAATATCAGTAAAACTTGTTAGTTGACACAACCGTCTACTTTGATGAAGAGCAAGTTGCTTGAAAGCGCGGTTAATAAAATAGTTGAAAGTGAATCGAAAGTGTTAGGAACCAGTAAAAACTGCCCAGTATGAAAAGACTGAGCCAACTGCCCGTACACACGTAAAGTCAGAGAAGGCGACCATAGCAGACACCATCCCAACAACTTCGATAGGGACAGCGGAATTGAGATTTCATTCAAAAGTACTCAATCAATGACGCTCACCAAACACAGTCAATAACAGCCCCTACGCTACCCTCAAGGAAGCCAGACTAACAGTATATCACGAACAAAGATCACCTGCAAGTCTACTGATACCATTGCCGTCTGATGACAAAGTATAATCTTTGACCTTAAATGTTGTTTCAAACGACTCTTAACCCAGTCCCCACCATTGCCAAAACACTTGAGAAAAACACAGCCATCGAACCAAATGTATATCGTCCAACTCTGTATCCACAGTCAGCATAGCTCGCATACTGCAGAAACAAGTGTAGTTGAGATCGCTGGCGAAATGGATGATTATCATGCCAGTCTGCTTCAGTCATCAGGTTGAAATTAGCAAGCATTTGCTGGCATTTTCCTGTCAGTTGTGCAGCCCGGTAGCAGGGGTAAATAAAAACGTATAAATAAATACCTAAAATGATTTCATAGAAGAAAATTTTTTGAAAATGTGAGTGCATCAAGTCAGAAAATGACGTAAATGTTGCAACCCAAAAGACACAAGCTATAGTATACAGAACCCAGTGCACAATGAACCACAGCTTGAATGCATTGGATGTACCAAAGATGATCTTGCAAAGTTGCTGATGCTTTTTGATGATATCATCAAGGTGTTCTGCTGTCATGATGTCATCAGTACATCTAGTTACAAGAGTTTCCATTGATAATATCAAGGTACTAAATAACCAGCAAGTCAAAAGACTGGTCCACAGTGAAGCTGAATAAACCCCATGAGCTACAAAAGATGAATAGTTGGAGCTTGAGATGCCAAACATTATCAACACTATACCAGAAATGAGAGCACACCAAAAGAACAGTAGCACACAGTTCAGTTTAATCCATCCCCAAGGGTTCACCAAAGGGAGAGTATTTTCTTGTTTAACGCAGTTAAGTTCTTTAGAAAGCATCCAGACACTCCTAAAGAAAGTCAAATGAGACAACAGACGACCGATATCCAACACAGCATCATTTATAAGCAATTCTTTCATGCGAACTRAAAGCAAGATATCAGTATCCTCTACACTTTTAGAGGTGATGTTCACAGAGCTATTTGCACAGAACCAGATCACTAGTGTTCTTTGAGCTCGAAGCTTTGGACACACAAACACGTAGATTGCTGTTTGAATAGAGAGATAAACATCAACCAGTAGGATTATCAGGGCAAACATAGCACGCCATCTTCGACGAGGATTCCACWAGCCAAATGCAAGGGCAAAACCCTTCAACAACAACCCTGAACTCATGAATCTTTTGACATGTCGAATAGGAGCTCGACCGCAGAACTCATACTCAAACCTAGATCGTTCCTCATTAAAGAGGTTTTCAGRGAAATTGTCAAGCTCGTTTTTTGATGCTTTCATCATCTTGGAATGTTGAAATGCTATATTGAAATTAGGGTCCCGATTAGTTTCAGTATAGACGTCAGTGTTTGCTGTAACGAACATTTTTAGCATTTTCGAAACCTCGTGTTGTTGTAACAAAACTGGATGTGCAAATTCGTTTGCGTGACATTTTAATATTCATTGTACAGACAAAATAAAGATTTTGATCGATTTTACAAATATGATTTCAAAATATAATGGTTCCTGGTATATATGCTTATAAATGGATATTGTTCTTTCACGTGAAGATGCTACCATGACTCATTCCATACACTGCAGTGGTTACAAAAGCAATGAAACATGGTATATATTACCAATAATACCTGTAGTCTCCCGGATGGTCACGGTTTCGATTCCTGTCAGGTGGACTTGGATGTTTTTCAATGCCTCTGATCAAGCTAGTGTCTACTGGATAACTTTTCTATCGATACTTCTATCATTTCTTAATAGGGCTGCGTGGTTATTCTAAAAATAGCCCTGCAGGGGGAAAAAAATATACTGAAAAAAATATGGAGAAACATACATTTTATTCTATCCACTATCTTATTATTTTTTAATAAAACATTGGCTTGTCATTACAAACTAAACGACAGAAATCGTAGCCACGGCGGAGATGACAAGTAGGGTTTGTTTGTCTGAGTTGTGACGTCACTACCACGCAGCCTTATTAAGGCAACAAAATCACAAAAGAATAGACCTGACGTTTAAACGTTTAATAACGTTTCATACCACTTACTACTACTATTTTCATAAACATGCAAACTCCATAACTGCAAGCTGCATATGCTGAAATACGGTTTTTCACTTCCGTCAATCAAAAATAATCAGTCTGTACCTTTTATATATTTCTGACTGGAGGCAGAAAAAAAAAAAAATTCCAACCAGTAACTCGCAACTACAGAGTTCGCATGTTTATGAAAATAGCAGTGTAATAATGGTCAATAATTCCATTATCATTAAATACAACCCATGACCCATTGAACAAATCAATGTTTTTACTCAATGTTTCTATGTTTTTTTCCTGCAGTGTTAAAGATATTCATCATAAAAGAGCATGGCTGACTTCAATCGTATTCAGTGCTAAAGTAAAAATTTAGTATTATGCCGTTTTTTGGTACCTCTATAAGCCCCAACCATAATGACGTTTTATTCTTCTATCAATACCAGAGCTTTCATTTTCAAGTACTAGCTTTTGTTTGTTAAAATGTCATCATGGTTGGAGCTTATTAAGCAGACACCTTCAGGACTTGAATCTATTAACTCCAACAAGCTTTGGCTGTTGTATCATAGCATGGAACACTCACAACAACTCAAGAGCTAAGCTCCAATCMCTCAGTGAAGTCCAGGTTCAAATTGGATTTTGGAATTGAAGTTCAGACCTTGGTGAGAGAGGCAGGACAGAAAAACCATTTTTTGCCATTCCATATAAGGACAGCTTTGCGTATATAGACCCATTGCACGCATAAATTATCCCAGACTTTTTTCTTTAAAAACAGGTTTATCAATCAGAAAGCAATTAAAAGTATAAGAAAACAATTAAAAGTATAAGAAAACAATTAAAAGTATAAGAAAACAATTAAAAGTATAAGAAAACAATTAAAAGTATAA